GGCTGCCCCGCGCTAAGAGCCTTTCCCAAAGTTGTTTTGGGAGGGGGGACAGGACAGCCCTTCCTGGGGGCCGTATCCTTCCTGCCTTTTCTCTCTTTGTCTCGTCGCTGCTCGTGTCTCCGCGCTGAGTCTCCCATGCAACGCGTAGCTGAGGGTTTGGGGGAGCTGTGAAGGCATCAGGCTTTGTGAGCTCCCCCTAGTCCCCACCGCAAAGGTAAAGGTTGGGGAAGGTCACTGAAAGCCGGGATTTCTCACCTAGGGGCTGTTACTTTTAGTGCTTTCAAGTATTTGTCTTAAATGTTTACTTTCCCGTCGCATTTCAAAATCTTTATGGAACTACATGCATTTTATGATGGAAATTAATATTGAAAAGTTTGCACGTGTAACTTGCACTTAGTGCCTCTTGTTTCTTGTCTTTTCAACTTTAGTTTTTCTGGCTCTCCCTCAATGTATGGTTCTTCTGGAAAACCTTCCTGCTCTATTACCGTGGGCAGCAATACTACTATTTGCATCAGATGTTAGGGGTGAGTGACACAGATGTTACTATTTTGGGGGGGAAGAAGGGAAGACATAAATTGTAATTGCTCATGAAAGATGACCCAGACTCTCTATTACTCTGCAAAGTGGGGAAAAAATCAAGTAGGTTGAATCAAAAATCAAGACTGATCTGTGGTTGACAGTTATTTGACAGGCTCACAGGAACACAAACACTGAAGCTCTACTTCTTGTCATCAAAACCTTAGCCAAGCTTATGGGTCCTTTTGGGCAAGTTCTTCCTAATCCAGTTATTATGATACATATATACTGAAGGAACTCTATTGCTAAGTCTTAGATCTTTTCAGTCACCTTCAGAGATCCAATGTTTTGTGTAAATGATTGTAAACTATCTAAGTTTACAATCTACTAAGTTCTGCTTTCTAAAAACAGAATCCCAGGATCTGAATTTAATGGAGAATTTGACCATTATGTTTTAGCAACATCTCCAGTCACTACCAAAGAAACCCAAAAGATAATTTTTGTGGGTGGTATTTAGGTCTGCTTTGTGAGGTTATCCTTGGATGATAACTATCTAGTTGCAATTGTTTTAAATGAAATCTATCAAAGAGATAGATCGAGTTAAAAAAATTCTGAAAAATGCTCTTGAGTTGCTCAGAATCTTAGAATCGAGGAAAAAGTGCATGAGTAGCATGTAACAATGTGCCATAATTGGGAATGGACTTCAATGACAAGTTTACACAGGACTAAGACATAGCCTGTGTCAATTCTCTGCAAATGATTTGGTTTTAGCTTGGTATATCCAGGATATGTATTTTTTTTTCCATGTGATTCATATCATTGCCATACCTAGCCAGTTCCATAAGTTTTCATGAGCTTTTCTTCTTTTTCTTCTTACGGCTCACTTGGGTATGTTCAAGAAATGATTCTTAGCCAGTAGTGCAAAAAAAAAAAAAAAAAAAAAAGGAATGAATCCTTTTAAATACTTTATGATGACTTTTAGATAGAAAAAGTATGAAAATGTGTTTAATTTTACCATCTGCAATGGCTTTGCAGCCTGGTGCATCCATTTGACAAGTGTTTTTTGCTCCTGGTAGAACAAGTGGGTTGTTTATAAAAGCAAATGTTCCTGGGTCATGAGGTTGGGCCACGTTGTCAGCTGGTATCAATCAGCACAGTTCCGCTTGATTCACAAGGCATCCACCTTGTACCAGCCTTTTGGGCCATCTTCTTATATTTCAGAATGAAAGAAACATACGAATTAACCTAATACAGTCACACTTGCAGGTTCAGAACCTGATAGATGATTCAAGAAACAGCCTCACTGTCTTGACTAGTAGATAAGAACCAGGAGGCCATGCAATTTGAATCCCTCTGACACAGTATCTGCAATTGTGGAAATGCACCAAAGGAATTTAAAGACTCTAAAAGGAAGAGGAAAGTGAGCAGCTAAGTCTTTCATATTCTTTCATATTCTTTCAGTCAGAGTTCTGAAACTAGTTTAAAAGCCTTGGACACATTAAAAATGGCAAAGGATTCTTGCTATGTACTTTTTGCAGTTTGTTTAAATGTATATTGTAGATTTTGAAGTTAGTTTCTTCCCTTCTCCTGAATGTATTTGGATGTGTGTATAACTTATACAAATTGTTTTGCAAGGGATGGAAAACTGAACCTGATTTTAGTATCCTCAGGAAACAAGCAGCACAGCCATACTGCAGCTGCTATTACATTCCATGGGGATTTTTGTTGTTCTTCTTCCTCTACATTATGTGGTAGCCACTGACCATTTCATGGCCCTTATTTGTAAACAATCTCCTTTTGGAGGATGAGTGACATGCATTTTCTCTGTGCCATTTTCTAGTGTTTAAAATTTTTGATATTTAGGTGAAAATTCTTCATTTGTAATTCAATGATTAGGTTCTTTTTGTCTTCAAAGGATGATTTTTTACAGATACTTTCCTAAAAGTGTGCTTCTTTTCCAGGCAGTCAACAATTAAGGGCAAAAGAGAATGGCATTTTTTGTAAGTTTTTGATTAAAAGACAAAACCCAAACTCCTGTTTCTCAATGAGGTATACTGAGGAGTTTTTGCTCTCTCAGCTGTGATGAAGCTGTGGAGGAACACAACAGGAGTCAAAGACATTGAAGTGCTAGGACAAGTTTTTAGGCATATTGCACACCATGAAATTTAGTGGGTAAACTTTCCTTGTGTCAACCATCACTACTCTGCTCAATTTGAGATCTACTGAAAAAATTTGAGTCCTACTGAGGAGACCAAGTACTCCTTTTGAGGTGTGAAATCTCCATCCATGGAGGCTTTCAACCAGCTGGGTAAAATTCTGAACAACCTACTCTGAGTTTGGTTTTGAACCTGCCTGGAGCAGGAGGTTGGACTTGTGAAGGTCCCTTCCAGCCTGAATGATTCTGTGGTTCTTGCTGTGTGAGATAAACCAGAACCTTGGGAGATGTAAACCCCTTTCCAAAATTTTTGCTTTGAAAAACCTTGAAGTATCATCTTTAGAGAAGTAATTGCTTGCAGCAATACAACTCATAGTCTTACCCTATCAGTTCTTTCACTGCCTCTGGTTCAGGAACATAATTCAAATAAAAATTCTCTCATTTTTTCATGATTTACTAAGTATAAACTTCTGGCATTGTTTAGCCTAAAGTAGAGAAATCTGTGGAGACAGCTGTTCTTTACAACAGGCACTGCTTACTCTTAAACCTATGAGAAGAGGAAGGGAATATTTTCTTCATGTTCAGACATGCACAATGTAGTAGGCTTGAATTACAGAAAAGAAGATTAATAGATTACTTACATGACTCTAGAGTCTTCCTTGTTGGAGATTTTATCTCTGCCGGGTGAGAGATAATTCATTTCCTTGCATACTGCCAGTTTTCTCCCTTCGCATTAACATGACTGTTTTTTCCAACAAGGTTACATCTGACCAACATCTGACCAACATCAGTAAATTCAGTCCCATGTTCAGTACTGGCCTTATGACAGGACTCAAATCTTGCTTATAACAGCATTAAGCTGAATACCTGTCATCTGCTGGTTGAGTTTCCCAAAAATGGAAAAAGCTTTGGACTTATTTTGTCATCACATAAAAGGCACTATCTCTCTCTGCCCTCTCTAGCCTGTGCTCAGATAACTTTAATATAGTCAAAAGGATATTAATGGATGAGATAAGCTTCTGAGTTTCAGATAAAAGTGAAGAAAATTCATCCTTGGAAGGGTCCTTTTGGGAAAGGGCTGCACAACTGAAAATGTGACTGAAAAAGGAAAGTGCTTCCTGTCTTTTTTTAGCTATACAATTACTGCCTCCTTACAGTACATTACTGTATATTAAGGTGATATCTTCCTTATTTACAGCTTGAAATATAATGCAGGTGTTCCAGTAAGCTGCACTTGTCTCTTTACTAGTTTTATCATGATGATAAAGATTTTGCGAATTGAAGCCAAGTTCTACTTTCACTAATCCTTGTGCAACCAGACGGTAATCTGTTTTCCCCACACATCCAAGCACGGAAGGGAGCTGTGCATTTGAGCTTCTATTTTCCTTAATGTACTGTTGTTATTTAATTGTATCATAACTAGGGTATTTAGCCTATTGTATGTATTGTTTGTATTCTTGTTCACACAGTCACAGAATCACAGAATGGTTGAGGTTGGAAGGGACTTCCAGATATCATCGAGTCCAACCCCCTTGCTCAAGCAGGGATACCTGGAGCACATGGCACAGGGTGGCATCCAGGAGGGTTTGGAAGATCTCCAGAGAAGGAGACTTCAAAACCTCTCTATAATAACTATTTAATTGTATTGTAACTGGAGTATTTCAGATTTGTTCTTTAAGGTGTTATATGCGACAAAAAATGTTTACTAAATGGTTGTTATGTTGCTATGGAAGCTACATAAATGTGTATATTTATAATGTCCTAGCTCAGGGTTTTAGTCCACAGTACTTTATCCTGATAATCCTGTTGAATTTAGAAGCAGACCTTTTCTTGCCTTCAGTTTGCTCATAGGTTTTTTTGCTATTTTTACTAAAACATTTTTTCCTTTTATTTATTTGTCTTTTTTTCCCCCAACTGAAGTGGCAGTGATCATGTGAAAGGCATCTGTACTCACAGAATGTTTGAGATTGGAAGGGACCTCTGGAGATCATGCAGCCCACCACCCCCTGCTCAGATTTTGCAGGGTCCTGCATTTTGCAGGATCAGCCCTTCATCCTCTTTTTGATAATTGGCGTATGAAATTATGTCACCTTTTGGAAAGAAATTGTGGTGTGACTACATAAGGAGCATAAGCTTACCAGTGGCACCCTAAACCCCTTCTAGTCTGTATGCATTATCATTCACCTGCCACAAAACAAACAAGAAAATTCTAATTCAGCAACACTGACTAAAGCCAGTGATGGTTAAAGTAAGTCAGAGCACCTGTAACACACAGAGACTGCAATGAGAACATGACCTAAATATGAGGAATATTGACTGTCACTAGAGCAGGGCAGATCCACCGTTACCTCATAAAAGGAACTGACAATGTCGTCATTGTCCACTTCTGATGTTTTTGGCTTTTTATAATGAAAGACTCTGATTACTGTGTGCCAGTGTAAGATCGAAGTCAACTTAGCATAGGAAGTTGGGTTCTGATTTAATTCTTAGTACGAGAAGATGGGATTTATGGATTCCAACCTTGCAACCTCCTATGTTCAGGAGCAATACCGAATGAACATTTTATAGGAGTTTGCAAATGTCCTGGTGGGTTTCTGCTGCTCTCACATTTTTTTTTTCCTTTCAGCTTTGCTGGGTTTACTTGGTAGATATCCAGGGAGATTTGGCAGACCTAAGAGGAATAACTGCTACCTATACTATTCAGACTTGTTCTTCATCTTAGTTTATTTGTTCAAACCCAAGAACACTCTATTTCAAAAAAGGGATTTAGGTTAAGATAAGAGACATTGTATAGCCCAGTTTGTTCTACCTATGCAAATCATTATTTTTTAGCTCTCCAGTACTGATTTGGAGTGGTGGTATCTGAGCTGTGTCTGCAGAGCAGCATGTTGCTTATGAGCATATGCTTATGCTTATGAGGTTTCTCTGAACCACAGAAGCTTTAAAATATTAAAGGTCTGCAAGGGAGTTGAGTGTGGTATGTCTTCTGCACGAAGACTTGGTTGGGGTTGTTGCTTGTAGTTAGAGACACTTTGAGAATCAGGGAAGGATTACTTCTAGATGTGGAGAAAAGCTGAGGATTTTTGATATTTCTTCATTCTTTGCTGCATGTAATGACTCCTCTCTTCTCGGTCTTGCTTTGGGCATTGTATTAGTGCAGTCTGGAGTGAGTCATGAGCATTGGGGGACCATGGGCAGCGAGAGCTGCAGAGCTGGCATTCCCACTGGAGCCCTTTTCTGCAGTGGAGAAGGAAAATGCTGTGATTGCTTCATGATTGCCTGGAAAGGAAAGCTTTAGCTTTGTAGAGGGTCCAGTTCTCTGTTATACCTGCCACAGATTATCTCTGTGAATTTGGCTAATTCTTTAGTTTCCTTGTGCCCTATTGCCCCTCCATGCAGCGGAGTAGAAGTTTGTATTGTACTGGGTAGGCAAAGCACAGAAAGAGGTTATTGGGGTGCTTAGATTTGATTGTATTGAAGAGTATGTAATGTAGAAGAGTATGCAGCAGATGTTTTGGGAGTTTGTTTTTTTATCTCTTTTTGACCTTCTTGAAGCAATTTCACATGATGCTTACATGCTTTCTTTTTTCCCCTCAAGATAATGATACTCTTCAAGAATAGAAGAGGATTATTTTTCTTTCATTTCTTAGCTAGTTATTGAGGATATTTATTCCCTTCTAGAACCGTTGAGTTGCCCTGGTGCAAAAAAAAAAAAAAAAAAAAAAAAAAACCTCTTCTACTATTGTTTAAAAATTCAACAATCCACTATTTTAATTTGTTACTATGGCACCCAGGCAACGCAAAGGAAGTTTAGAAAAAGACTCTTTGGAAGCCATTTGGAAAGAATTAATGTCATGGGATATTTTAAGCCTTTGGATATACATTAAGAGAAAACTTAGTACTGTTTTATACTTTCAAATCTTGCATGAACTGTGATTCTAAGCACTGCTAAATTTGTATCTTTACCATTGTTTTTAAACTGCTCATGAGCTTGTTGGAGCAAAATATCCAATTTTATTTCTTCAGAGTAAAACCTTAAAACTAACCATTAATGAATAACTGTGATATTCTGTGTCCAAATATTTGAATCACACTTTCCTAAAAATATCCTGCATTTTTTCTGAGAAGTCATTTCCTGCTTTTCCTCCCTCTCCCCTTTGCATTGTTGCTTATAACATTGAATTAGAATTAACATAAGGGCATTCTTCCATAGGAATTGTATATAAATAAATATTTTTTAAATAACATAGTCAAACAACAACAACCAAAACAGAAAGCAAACTCAGTAGGGCAGTTTCTTATGCAAAGCAAGATTAGCAAGGCAGCATCTTAAACTGATCACCTCACTGTGGCACAAAAGCTTGTATTTCAGTTGAGGATGACTATTATTCCTCTCCTCCCTTTACCGCTCCTTCCCTTAGCCATCCAGGTAGTCACTTGATCCTTGAAAGATACATGTTGTAAGTTCTTCAGCACTCAAAGACCATGAAATGAAGTCGTTATTTCTTGAAAAAGGGGGATTGTGTGGCAAGTAGTGAAAAACTAGTGATGGGCAAACCAGGGTAGATTAAAAAAAATAAAATTAAAAATTTTAAAAAAATAATAAATAAAAAATAAAAAAATAAAAAAAATCTTAATAAAGCTAGTTTGAAAAAGAGAATTTTCTGGCCACCTTTCCTTCTTCACTGGATTTGAGGAAGGCTTTGAGGAGCTGGCTGAAGGGTCTTCTTAAGCTTTACCTGATCATTATTATTGATTCTTTTTTTTTTGTACCAGTTAAAATGCTTGTCATTTTACCTATTTTACCTGTAACTTACATGAAGTTATTTCATTTGTTTAATAATGTACAGCATAGAAGTAACTCTGCTATAGATTAATCCAAACTAGACTATTTTGTTGAAGTTTTGCAAGAAGAATAATTGTGCTCAATAAAAATAGTCTTGGATAACTGCTACTTTGCCTAGTATATGTTTAAACTCAAAGGCAACAAGAAATTTTGTGAAACTGTGGTCCTGTAAATCATATAATAGAATTACTACGCTTTTTTTTTTTTCAAATTACTTTCCTTCATAAAGTATGTGACTTTAAATGGTGACATGGTGACACTTTGTATGGTGACATTTTCAGCTTTAGATATTAGTCAAGTGTAGTCAAATGGTACATTAGAGTGGCTCAGCTAACTCCTAAGTTTTGTGTAAGCTTTAATTCTAAATAACTCTTGTACTTTTCATGCCGTGCTCATTTAATCGGTGGAATTCTGTAACCTATCAGCAAGCTCTAATAAAAATGTTTATATGCTGTTAATGACCATATTTTTTGAACTAATTGCTTTCTTGAGACATACATCTCATTTTTAGCTTCCGTTTACAGGAAGAATAATTAATGAAAATAGAGACAGTCTTGTATGGCTGCACATTATATACATTTTACTTGTCATTAAATCCAATCATTTAAATAGTATTACTGTATTCTCCGATAGTCCAAAAATATTTTTGATGTTCTAAAGTCACTTGAGGCTAATGTAGGCAAGGATAGAAAAGTATTTACTGTGATTATTCACCATCTTTTTTATTATTATTAATAATCAGACTTTGGAACAAAGTGACATTCAGTATTCAGTACTAGTAAAATCTCAACTCAGCTGCTGAAGCTCTAGTTATTGTAACCGGTGCTTGGTTTTAGTCATTGCACTTACAGAAAGATCTAGACCGATTGGAGGAATCCAGAGAAAAAATGGGAGAATGATCTAAACTCCAAAGAATGACTTGTGAATTGAGTTTTAGTCTGTAGGAGAGAAAACTGAAGAGGAAATACATGATTAATAGCTGCCAAATGTCTGTTGGAATAAGCAGTGGAGGTGGGCTGTGGAGTGGCAATGGACTGCATGGCATGGCTCGTTCTACTCCTGTTTCGTTTAACTCAGTAGGTTGCTAATTCCTCTGTTAAGAAAGTCCCTCTTGGTGCCCCTCAGTGGGGGTTGCTCAACGGGTGTTGTGCAGGGATGGTACCTTTTACATGGCATAGAGCAAGGCAGGGAACACACATCTTGTAGGTAATCCCTCCCACTTCTGGTAGCAAAACCTTGAGAGAAGGTGCCTTTTGTGCTATAGAAACTCATAATGTAAAGCCTGGTGGGGAGGCCCCTCATATTTGGATCGAATTGCCCAGTAATGCCTTATGCCAAAGGAGAAAAGGGACATAGATGGAGATACTTGCCTATTGATTTTGTGCCTGGATGTACTGCAGAGAAGATGGGGTATATGTGTCATAAACTCTTAAAGCAGGAAATTTTCCAAAGCTGCTTCTCCTATTGTATGAAATGGTGTTTTGGGATGTGGTGGTTTTGATGTTTTGTGCTGTCACGCCGTTGTGCTTGGGTTCTTGCTAGGCATGCTGAATCCCAGTTACCTTGTTTATTTTGTGTTTACTGGTTTATATATTCATCCGTTTCTGTGGCATAGCTAAGTTAATGAAAAACAAGGAGTGACAATTGCATTTTTTTAAATATAAAAGGATTTTTAATACTTTTTGCAAACATTTAGAATATGAATATGAATATGAAATCTCTTTGTTCTTCTCCAGTTTTGTTTCTTCTTCATCTCAGTAGGAAAGTTAAGATTATAATGAAAATGTTTCATTGTTTTTACCTTCTCTGAAATATAACAAATGTTCTCTTTTTGGCATAAAGTATAATTTTGGAAAAGTGATATATCTGCAGTAACTTTGCATATATATCTGGTATATATTCACAACATGCATACACCTTTGCAGCATTTGAGTTATCTTGCAACACTACAACAGTTTGGTATTAATTTTCTGTTGAGGTTAAAAAACTTATGTTTTAGAGAACATCATAAAAATATCTTTTTAGAAATCTGTTGACAGTCTAAAAGCATCTTTTATAAAACCTAGGAAAATGTTAATTCTTCCTAAAAACTGGGAGAACAATGGCAAGTTGTTAACTCTTTTAGAATCTATAAATGAATGAGAGAATACAATAAGATAACAAAATACAGGGTTATGACATTAAGGTGTACTTTGTTCATGTATTTGACAAGTATTTTTGTTCTAATTATATAATTTCCAAATATACTGGTAAAAGCATTTGTGAAATTAGAATTCATTAAAATTGCCAACTATTGAGTCATTAAACTGAAGAGAAGCTGGTTTCCTTAGGTCCAAATATGGCACTGGATAGTGTGACTGGATATTGGCTCTCCAGAGAACAGGACAGCATGATGTGTGTAGAGCTGTTTTTCCAGAACATGTAAAACATCAGGAAACCCCAGTAGTGTGATGAGTCAGGAGAACATGGGAGTTATTCATGGTCAAAGCAAACAAAAGGAGGTTTAATGCTGGCATCTGAACAGTTGCAGCACCTTTTCTCCCTGCAATCTAACTCTTGCTATATTTGTTCAGCTAGGATTGTGTATTAGCAGAGCTTCAGCATCTGTCCTCAATCTCAATTGCTGCTTGGCCCTTTTACCAATGTGCCGTGTTCTCTTGGCCTTCCTCCGAGGATCACAGAAGGTAAGAACCAGCTTCAGAACAGCAGTTAAGAAGGTTATTTTAAAAATAATTAAAGAAAAAGTTATGGCCCTATTAATTATGCAATATGTGCCTGCGGAGTGCAGGTACCATCCAATTTCGTGTATTAGTTATCATGGGAGAAACAATGGTCCTGGCAAAGCTAAGAGGATCCATGTTCTTTAAATAATTTTAGTTGCTTTTGATTCTATTTCTTTGGCAGAAATAGAGTTAAAGCTTTTGGGGAATATCTGTGTGTGTGTGTATATATATGTCATATATATATATATTATATATATATATAAAATATGATACACATATGTTTGCAAATATAAGTAGGTCTCCATCCTGTGTTCTTACTAACTTAAGAATCAATGACTCTTTTTAACAAGTAGTGATGGAATTCATAAATTTTAAGGCAAGAAGAAACATCACTTTATGGGCTTTTTATGGGCTATCTATGTAATAATGAATCATCTGGAATTTCTTCATCAAGACCTTGAATTTGCCTCATTGTCTTGATGCGGTTGTGTTTAAATGTTGGTATTGGGCTTGCATGGGCATTTAATCTAGTTAAATCTAATATTGTTATTAAATCACCTCAGTTGCTGTTAGTATCTTTTTTTCTTTGCTTTGTTTTAGAAGAGAGATTGCTTGAATTCTGCTT